CGGCCCGGATGGCATCCAACAAATCGTCGATTCGCGGTAAGGGATACACATCTTTGGTAGTGATAGCGTTTAATTTTTGGTAGTCGATACATACCCGGACCGAACCATTTCGTTTTGGCACGAGGACCACGGGAAAAGACCACGGTCCCAGCGATGGTTCGACCCACCCCAACCGCTCGAATTCCCGTACCCTTTCCAACGCCAGCTGTCTTTCCTTAAGGGAATATCGGTACAGTCGGCAATGTATTGGGGCGTGATCCCCTGTATCAATCGCGTGCTGTATCAAAGGGGTTAGCCCTATGTCGTGGTCCTGAATACTGACGGCCTCAGGATAGGCCGGTATAACTGCCAGGAGGAGGCGTCGGTATTCATTCGGAACACGGGCTGGTAACTGAACTTCAACGGCTCCCCCAGGAAGGGAGACCGTTGTCGTAACTGTGGGGACCGCCGCGTTGGTATCGGGCGAGGCCCCAAACAAAGAGTTGTCGGTTTTCGCCGAAAGGACAGTCGTTATAAGTTGATTGTCCGCCGGGCTCATCGGCTCACTTTCCATGTCACTATCACTATCCAGTTCGGGTTCGGCCGAGGGTTCTACTGAAAAGGCCTGCGTCAGTTCCCTTGGTCCCCACCGATATTGCCTTGTTTGGGGTTGAAACGACACCCCCTCTTTCAAAAGTATCGTGGCTTTCTCATTCGTGAGTAGGGGCCGTGGAGGTCGGAAAGATAAATCGCACAACCCCCTCAGCTCGATAAATCTTTCAGGTAGGGGGTCCGTCCTGAGATATAAGGACGCAGGGGCTTCCGAAAGGTCTGCTATTCGGGACACCCTCAGCAGGGGTTCCCCCTGCACCACGGAGGAGAACGCATGCGACCGGTTGGACTCTCTTCGAACTATTTCCAGTGGTTCTCGCCGCCAAGAATGGCCCCACCGATCCTGAACTCGGATCGGATATCGGTCGAGTGCATCAGCCTCGTCAGTTTCCGTCAATGGTTCATTTTTGCCTGGTGACAGGCGTCGGATCATGTTGATTTGATGGGCTTTCGTGGTGAGTCGAGGCGCCGGCTGGGTGGGCATGCGCACCGCCAGTCTCATTGGTATCGTTTGGGGTTTGGGGTGGGCTGATGTGAGCACCACCTTACAGCTGTCAAAGCGCATTCGCGCTCCAACCGCTGCCTGCCACGGAATGCCTAGCAGAACATCATACGCCTGTACATCCAGCACGATCACGTCGCACAAACAATGCACCCACCCCACCCGTATAGGCACGTTCGTTATTCGCCCCTTACAATGAATACTGTATTCCGTAGCGGATATACACACTTCATCCGGTCGGAGGGGTTGAACCTGTCCCTCCCTTCCCAACTGTTTCGTCAACCTCCAAGAAATGGCGACCGCTGACGATCCCGAATCTAGGATGGCGGCCGAGGGATTTCCCCAGACCTCGCAGTCACAATCAACGCTTTTCCAGGTTATAGGATAGGCTCGGAGGAATACCTCCGGTTTTTCCGAGGCGGAGTCTACAGTCAGGATCATTCCTATTCGGTCGGCTTCGTGCACCTTTGAGGTCGAGGGCTGCGACTCCACGTTTGTGGGTAGGTCCCGTAGGACCGGCTTTTTGCCCTTTCGACTTTCCTCGAATCGGCGCCTGTTTTTGAGGCATCGTTCGATTAATTTTTTGTTAGCCGCGTCGGAAATGGTTAGCAGATAGGGAATAGGGACGGGGATCCGAAGATCCAGAGCCTTCAAGGCAACCAATACGTCGATATGGCCATCCTTGTATTCAGGGCCAGGCGCCGCAAGGTCTTCGAACCCTGGTCTCCACGGCCCGAGGTCGCTTTCCTCAGTAATTCGTTGGACATGACGTATCACTCCGATGGTCCCGGGTTCGAACATCGCCGCAGCCATGTATTCATCGGGCCCTATCTCGGTGGCCGCAGGGGTCACCATTTCCGTTGCTCCGGTATCCATCACCGTGGCCACCCTCCCCTGTTCTGCAGCGGTTGGAGCGGCCAACGGGATTTGGGACCTGGCTGATTGCAGTTATAATAGCGTAGGGACTGGACAGCCCCGGCCACGTCCGGTCTTATCATAGGGGCCCCGGCGGCCATAGCCGCTTGTTGCCGTTGTGCGGCGGCTAGGCGTTGCCGTTGTGCGGTGGCTAGGCGTTGCCGCTGCAGGCCCTGAACAAACTTCGTCAAAGGGGCCACTACCGTAACTAATTGTGCCGCGACCTCCTTCATGGACACTTCTTCCTCACCCCGGCCTCCTTGTGCTTGGCTAGGGTGACGGGAGGCCGACGCAGAGGAAGAAGCTTTCCGATCCACGCCCTTTTTTGCCAGACCTTACCCGAAGCGATCTTCGAACATTCGTGCCGTAGCGGAGTAGCTATTGCGTCGAACGCCCGAAGGGTCATCTTCGTCGGATTCTGAGTCCAGGCCCACATCATAATTTTCTTTCCCGTACTTAATTGCGTACTGAATTAGCTCCGTCAGGGTATGTTCTAAAGGGTTGCATTTCTTGCGGATCTTTTTTCGCAGACGAGAATCTGACAGTCCTCTCACGAAATCAGTCCGCACCATTTTCTCGTCCACCCCGGAGCGTTCAGCTAAGTACGTAAAACGTTCAGCATATCTTCCCAAGGTCTCCTGAGGCTGCTGTGTGTATTCCTTTATTAAACGGAGGCATTGGCCCGGTGCGATGTGATCAAATCTATCGAGAAACTTCCTCTGGAAGGCTGCCCAATTAGTGAAGGGGTTATGTCCATACCACTCAAAAGTGGTTTCGGCTAACCTTCCGGGAATTCGTTCTTGGAGCAACTGATCCGACCAGCCCTGGGCTTTCAAGGCCGCTAGCCAGGTACAAGGTTCGGTGTCATCTTCGCAAAAAAATGGAAACTTCGGAAGGAGGAGGTACAAAGTACAGGGGATGATTGGCCATCCCCGCGTGGTTGTCACCATCGTTTTCACCCCCAATTCCAGGTTCCACCATCGGGGGAGGCGGGTTTCGAGCCCGGCCTCTCGCTCGGTTCCGATTGCTATTCGCGTGCCTCCGTCGACGGGGAGCCAGCCTACTCAAAAATGCGAAAAATCTAATAAAGGATCAAAAAGGAAAAGAAGAACTTTAAAACAGGGTAATCGTCCTAGGAAAACCTCGGAGCCGAAACGAATCAGCTCTGATACCAACCTCACGCCCCCTCGCGGCTTCCCGTACGGGGTTGCCGATCAGAGTTATAGGAGGGGCGTGGCCGATGATTTTTGGCCGTAAGGGTTGAGTCTCCCGGACGAAACGGGAGACCCTCGTTTCGTGCCAGAGGTTTTCCCCGGAGTCGAACTGTCCTCGCGGAGCCCAGTGGGGGTCGGATCACTCCGAAACGATAAAATCAAAAAGGTTTCCGCAAAAATGAACTGCCGTCATGCATCGGGACGGAAAAAGGCATCAAGGGGAGAGGGCCATGGCGGCGGAAGACAAAACTTCGGCCGTCAGGGGTTTGGGGGATAGGTGGTGGGTTCGAAGCCTTCAGGCCTCATCCTCGTTTCTCACGAAGTGACCAAACCCTCGGGGCCTTGCTGTAAAGGTGGTTGATTCGAGGCCGTCAAGCCTCGGCGTCGGGCTCACAGATTCCTCGTGAAAGTTTCCGAGAGGGTAACGAGGCAGGAGGACTCGTCGACATCCGAATTCGAAATTGCGCGGGCAGCGTCGCCCCACTACGGGAAAGCTCGGGGAAACGTGTCGCTCCCTCGTAACCCAGGACCAGCCGTCACCAAGAACACGAGTCCCCCTGGCGACACCAGCGACAATCAAACTGCGGCCGCCACGAGGCGTGAGCGGCCGACCAGGGCAACACCGTTAAACCCCTGTAAGGCAATATTAGAGTCGGGGAATCAAAACGATCAATCAGGACAAACCCGTTCCCCCTTATATCACACGACCGAGGCGGGTCTTGCCAACACACTTGCCCTGTCCGCCTCAGCGCACACTGTACGTCCGCATCACAGTAGACGCTGTCGTCATCTGTGATGGGGAAGGTCGGTAGCGAGATGAGACGGTTGGAGGTACGCGATAAACACGGGCAAGATCCCATGTTCCCGGTCATCCGAACCAACATCGAATCCATACAACAATCGACGCAATTCTTCTCTCTTAAAAGTGGGTGCGTCGAGGGAAGATGATGAACTTTAAGCTTTCTCTCCTTGCGGGGGCGTCGACCGTCCGCATGGACGCAGGCGGTTGACGTCACCGGTACGGGGAGAAGAAGCTCCGAGAGCGATGACTATCAGTTCAAAAAGGAAGGCGCACGCGCGCGCGCGCGCGCGCGCGAGAGAGAGAGAGAGAGAGAGAGAGAGAGAGAGAGAGAGAGAGAGAGAGAG